GCAGATACACTCACGAGATTATAATGCTATTATAGGAGAAAAACTAAATCAAAAAGAAAACTCGATGAGATTAACTGTGTTCTTATATACATCATGTTGTCGTAGTAAGCAAATGCTAACAGAGTGACTATTTTCCAAGCAATAAAATTATGTACTAAGTTGATATAAATTACTTCTTCCTGAATATAATTATAAATAATGTAGAATTACACAATTCAAATGATATCGATACATGCAATACACAACGGTAACAAATGTCCACAAAAAGTTAATCGAAGCTTTCATGCAATTATACTGAAAAATGTTTTGATGGATTAAATATATGTAGACAAATATTTAAATGTTTTTGCACAGAAAAGAGAACCCATAAAAGAATACATTTTCCTTGCTCTCACTTCATTTACACGTCTTATTTGCTTGAAAAATTTATTTGACTTATATTTGTCTTTTTGTGCAACATTGTATATCATGATTCTTTTGAAATCGTTACCTATTTATATATGAAATTGGAATCCAGAGTCAATAGATCGAAGATTTTTCTTCAATAACTCTCCAAGACACTGTAACAGATATAGCGATACATTAAAAAGTGAAAATTTATAGTGACTGACCAGATCGAAAATGAAACTATCTTCTTTTTTTTCTCCAATATTCATTTACATAGCTTGAAAACATTAACATGTTCTTGTTCTCTGATTGATAATGGCAAGCTATAGGTTACAACAGAGATCAAAAACGAACTGAACTCGAAATCGAAATGAATTCACCCCTAACGAATTTTCAAACAGCTACTGGGTATAGACAGACACATAAAAAAAAATGATTGATAGAGATATTGCCCTTTTTTTGTAAAATTGTGGTACTCTGAGTAACGATTAAATGCCATTTTATCGATTACTTTATATCAGTGGCCCAAAATGAACTGATCTGAGCCGAATCTGAACTGTCTTTGAGTCAACAAAGGCAAGTCGAGCCAATAAAACTCGGTTATAATCGGCTTCTGGTTTACAAATATGAAAAATAATGAGCACATGCTGCTTCGATCCTGAGTTTTATTATTACTTGCTTTTTATGAGACTTTGGGTGATAGAATTCAGATAGAAAATCAAAACAGATAGTTAAAAATTGAG